AATCTGGAATATGTGTGCAGCGAAGAAAGGCAGGAAGAATGAGATACTCTACTGAGGGAAAGTTGTACTTTTTCCCTCGCTACAGTCACTGCGGCTACAGCATATGCTGCTAATAAGCCTTATGATCAGAAAAAGAGAGAGACAGAGAATGAAGCCCCTCCCCTGCTAAGGTTCATCCCCGTAACACAGGAGCTTCATTTCACAGTCAGAGAAGATGAAGGTCTCTGAGGTCTGCACTAAAGTTTGATTAAAGCTGTAATAGTATAAATCTTTTTATTATGAAATTAAATTTTTTTTAAGTCACTGACTGAAACTGTACTGAAAGTAAGCTAGACAGCAGAAGGAAAACCACATTTCTGGCTCACATCCATGTTTATGGAAGGATTTCCCCAGAGTGGCATAAGATGCACCTGGTTTACAGAGCGTGCACAATCCTGGCAGGAGAGAAAGAATTAAAGAAAGGAGGAGGAAGCAAAAAAAAAAAAACAATCACCATGTTTGTGGCTGGAGGGCTGAGCTGAGAAGGAAATCCCTTAAGCATCCAACAGATGGGCTGCACACGCATGACTAAACCATCTTTGAAAGCCAGGGACTGGCAGGTTTTTGTCGTCTTATGAAAAGTGAATCCAGGCACAAGCAGGAACCAGCTCAACCCTGCTTTTTTCTGGCCCAATTCCAGCATTCTGCGTTACTACCAACAGGTTCCACAGCCTGGTCCCAGCTGAGCACGTATGCTACTGGTGAACCCTAGTTTCTAAGGATATAGACACATAGGCTAATATTTACTTTTAAAAAGAGTGTGTTGCTTTTACATGAAGTTATACATTTTTAAGTGACTAAAAGTAGAAATATTTAATTGATAAATTAAAGTTAATAATTTAATTAATAAACTAATTAATAGTTCTTAAAGATTTAAATCAAACTTTTACTGCTAAAATTATTTCTCTCTTTCAAACTATGAGGTTTTCCTCACACTTGTTTGAATTTTGACCTTTTAGGTTTTCATTCCAACTATTCAAGAAACAGTAAAGTTAGGCATGTAAAGTCCCCATATTTAGTTGATTAAGGATTCCTGCATGCCACTGGATTACTTATGCTTTTCTACTGATGGGCAGATTTCTTAGTCCTACTTCTAAAACCCCAGGTTATCTATGAAGAATTCCCTCCAACCCAAAGCTGCTCATTTCAGCTTAAGATGACATTCAGGAACATGAACTCCTGAACAGATTAATTCACCTGGCAGACAGAAAGATAAACAACAGTACTTCAATTGATCCAGGATATTTGGATCTTTGCAGTAAAACCATTACAGCTAATGGGTATGAAAAGCAGTTGTGCTTTGTACCATTAATATCTTGTTCATTTCTATATGAAGTCTAACCTCCTTCCTGTGGTAGAGGGACTAGAATATAATTGAGAGTTGGTAAAGACGGTTCAGGATGTATAATCTCTACTTCACTTGATGTACTACAGATAACAGCATTTATTAAGTCATCATCTACGTATGCCAAACACATTATAGGTGGTTTAAAGAATGAATGAACTATAAATCAGAAAAAAACAATTTAAATCAATTATACACATATTTTCTCAAATAGATACAGAATATTCTCCCAAATTCTGTTTATAGGGTAATTTTTAAATGCTTAGAAAATAAAGATTTAGGTTGCAAATAAACTTTAATAAAGTCAAGGAAGCTTAAGTTTAGAGCCCCAAAGTAAATTTCCTGCTGTACATTTTTATGTAGAAAACCATGTTTAAAGTGTCTTCTTTGTAATAAAAATGAATTAGAACCATTTAACTGCCCCATGAAAAGAATTAGCTCTTGCTTCAGGTTTCAAACAACGCCATATTCTTTTTTGTTGCATGAGATATTCTGAAGGCTCTCAAAAAGTCTCTCGGTATATGTTTAGTAAACAATTTTCAGAGTAGAAAGTTTCACATGGATTTTTAAGATTATATAGTCTCATAATTTATATATATTTATAATCCTTTTCATCACTAAAATAAACCACATTTCTGAAATATTTAACATGTTAACACATAAATATTTTAAACAGAGCATTAAGTATCTTTCCTTTTCCTTTATAAAAATTATCTGCTTTATCATTTTACACATTAACTTTCCTGAAATAAAAACAGCATGGTCAAAATAATATGAATTTTTCGCACGAGAGAGTTTCATTCAAATCACATGTCAACTCCTGCCATGTGATCCGACACTTGCTTCTATTTCTCTTAGTAGAAAGAATGTAGCATATAAAGAGAAGTCAAGATCAGATATTTTTCTTCCTGACTGATACACTAATACACTTAAATTTTTGCATGGTTCAAATCTTCTCACTTGACATAAGTTTTGACAAAAAGAATACTTGTTTCCTGTACATTCCTTCTTTCCCACAATTTTAATTCACTGGCTTTAATTCTCTTTCACTACTAAATTCACAGACCAAGTTTTGCTATGATGACAACAGAGGCTATGGTTTCACTACCTTTTTCACTGGAAACTTCCTTCTAAGTCTTTTCGCTCTAATTAACTCCATGTTCCAAGATGATTTTCAGAATAATACATTTAAAAAATAACTTCAAATGTAATATCTAAAAAGTGACACCACTCACTGATACAATCACTTAATAACATACCTAAAGAAATGTTTCAGAAATGATAATACTTAGTATTATGCCATGAAATAATACCAGGACCCCAGAGAGGTTTATTAAAAGCTAAATACGCTCCCAAGTTTTGGAAGACCTGGAAGATTATACCAGCAATCATGTTTAGATAGCTACTCTATACCACTCTGAGGTGTTTCGAGTTCATCGTTTACTCACGTTAAGGAATCTAAAAATTACATTCCATTAACCATTGTATTAGTGAGAACAGTGGGTTTCAGGCTTTGGAGTATCAAGTGGAAGGAGTTTGAGTCCTATTTCACATCATTCAGGTTTTCACCCATCCAGAGTTGAGGGACCCTTAAACAGGCTGAAGAGATTGGCCAAGTTCTTAGTGATAATCACATTCAATATCCATGTCAAAAGAACAGAACAGAGTAGACATCAAGTATCTTGTCATTTAAGTTTCCCCTTACATCCCACTGCCAAGAAGCAAAGTCAAAAGAAAAGAAAAAAAAAACAGAGACTATTGAAAGGGATTTGGAACTGTGAACTTATTGAATACATAATTGACCACAAGATGCTGTTTTAAACTGAAAGAGACTAACCTTGAAATGCTGAGACTAATTTTTTCCCCTCTTGGGAGAGAGAACGGCAGCTCATGGTAAGTTAAGTTCCCTAAAGAGAAACAGTCAAATTTCGGCATATATTAAGTCTTAAATACGTCAATTTTGACAGCCCCTCCCCTCAATACTTGTACATTTACTGCCCTCCAATGAATTTGTCCTAGACAAGCCATCAAGATTTCTGCCATGCCCCCAGCCATCTTCCTGACGGGAAGTTTCCCCTTTGACAGTCCCTGATGAAGGAGCCCTGGGAGTTTCCTCACAAATGGGTGGCAACATTCTAAATTAAGAGTTTGCTCTTGTTTCTGCCTATTTGCATCAGAACATATCAGACCTAGAAGCAACTAATTTCTGAATCAATGACCTGTGAGAAGCCAGGTACAAAAGATCTATATAAACAAAGGTAATACACTGGACAATCAGATTCTCTCACCATCAGGTGACAGCTGGACAGATCAAGGGCAGAAGCAGCAGCAGAAGTGAGAAGACTAGAGGAAAACAGTCTTCAGATACTGAGAGATGTAAGTGGTAGGGAGAACAAAGACCTTCTGAAGACACCCTAACCTCCAGACCCTGTTACTTTCCTGTCACATGGCAAAGGGGAATTAAGTTTGCATGTGAAGTTTTGCTAACCAGCTGCACTTACAGATTATCCTGTATTGTGCTAGTGAGTCCAATGTAATCACAAAGATCCTTAAAAATGGAAGAGGAAAATGTACTAGTGCAAGAGAAAACCAGAGAGATGGCAGCATGAGAAGAAACTGGCCCATGTTGCTGGCTTTGAAGAGGGAGGGAAGGGTCCGTGAGCCACGGGAAAGACTTCTGATGTACAGCATTGTAACATAACAAATGTAGGAAGCCAATAAATTGATAGTAATTTGTCACACTAACAACAGAAAACTAATACAATGAGTTAGCTGTGAAGAGCTCTCAGCTGAGAGGCAACAATAATAATCGGCCTCTGGGGCTCCCTTGGCTCTTGACAGCCCTTCCCCT